CGAATTACGCGACTCTAGTCTCTCTTGCCGCAAGATAAGACACACACACGTATAAACATCATACAAACATACACATACACACACACACACACAAATATACACGGAAGTCGATCACAGGATCAGATCAGATTTTATTATCGCGATGAAAATAATTATTGATATGGAATAAATACAAATAAAAATAAAATAAAAGAAAAAATAATAATAATAATAATAATAATAATAATAATCGCGATTATATTATATGATGCATTTTTTTTTCCTTTTTGATTATTTGTTTCATCGATCGTCTTCCGACAATATATTTTTATTCAGGAAAAAAGAAACAGGGGGGGAGGAACGAACGAATCCCACAATAAAATAAATTAATAAATAAATCAATAAATAAATAAGTAATAAAAAAAAAAAGAAAAAAATAAAACAACGAATAACATCTTATATTATATGTATACCTTCGATTTAATAATCCAAAAAAAGAAAGAACAAACAGACAAACAAAAAAAATAAAAATGAAAGAAGAAAGAAATTAAATTAACAAAAAAAAAAATTAAACACGAACGAAACGAAAATGAGAACGACGAATAAAAATGTAAAAGTTAAATAACAAAATACTATTTACGACGAAACGAGCAAGGAAAATAATACGCGCGAGAGTCAATAATATTAATAATAATAATAATAACAATAATAACAATAATAATAATTATAATATTATAATATTAATATTAATAATAATAATAATAATAATGATAATTTTTCGTATATTACGATTTAACAACGAAAAAAAGGCTGCTTTCCTTGTTGTAAATATAGTTTTAGAAATATTACGTAACTCGAGAGGATCAGCATTATTTATAGAAACAAGGAAAAAAAAACAGATTATGTTGTTGTCTTCTTCGTTGTTTTCGTCATCGTCGTCCTCATCCTCGTCCTATAATCCTCGTTGTCGTCGTCGTCGTCATCATCATCTTCGTCGTCGTCGTCGTCGTCGTCGTCGTCAATGATCATCGTCATCGTTGTCGCGTCGTCGTTCTCATAAACGCGTACGTGTGTAAGTATATTAATTACACAATATATAACTAATTGTAAGATATTTATTAAATATCTCAACAATAAAAAAAAATTGAAGCCTCTTTGTGCCTAGAAAAATACTATCAAGCATAAATTACACACACAGACACACAGAACACAGATGTATACAAAATACGTGATTGTCCAAGCTAGTTCGCCATTTTGAAAGTTCGCCATTTTTAAAGATTGAAAGAAACAAATGAAAGGAGTGAAGGGATGGGGAAAAAAGGGTCGACAAGTTTTTAATAAAATTTTCATGGGGCAAAATGTTAATTGGAACTATTACGTATATTCTAATTTGTTATTTGTCATTGTGAGAAATAAATAAAAAGAGAGAGAAAGAGAGAATGAGGGAAGGGAGGGGGTTGGTGTTATACTTTTGTAAAATAGAAGGAACGAACGTTCGGTTGCCAGGAAAAATTTAGAAATTCTCTTTTATTATTCGGCAAGAGGATCAAAAGTTTGTATGGCTTTTACTGTGTTTCTATGATAAGCTCGTTCAATAGAATTGGAAGATGTGAAAGTGTGAGAGAGATAGAAAGAGTAAGAGATAGTTTTAGTATCTTTCTTTTGGATCAAGGCCAATGAACCTTTTTCTCAAATTACGTGATAGATTAAATCGTGTTGTTTTTATTTCTCTTCAAAATTTTCTCTCTCTCTCTATCTCTCTCTCTCTATCTTTTACTCTTACTCTTTCTTTTTTAATAACAATGATATTAATTAATAGAAATATCTTTCTCTCTTTTTCTTATCGTCTTTAACGGGTTCCCCAATCGAAAATAGAAATAGACAAATAGATTATAAATAAATAAATAAATAAATAAATAGAAAGAAAAATAATGTAAAAGAAATGAAAAAGAACAAAAAAAAAAAAAGAAATAGAAACGAGTGGGTAAAAATATACGATACGAATGGTTCCACGTTTTGCGAAAAACTAAATATTATATATATAATATAAAAGAAAAAGAAAAAAAAAATAAATAACAACTAGTCGGCTTTTGAAAATCGAGAATAGTTAAAAAAAAACGAGTTTTTTCTCTGCACACGGAGTTTTGAGTGTCCTGTGAAACATAGTGCCTTTTTTATAGCCGTTCACCGTTAAACTTAATTAGTTATTAGAATAAAGAAAACCGAAACGAAGAGAGAGAGAGAGAGAGAGAGAGAAAGAGAAAGAGAATATAATCGTGACTACCGATTGTTACTGTAAACAACAAAATAAATGAAAAACAAATATTTATCCTCGTACGATCTCGAGAATTTTATATAAAAATACGATGCAAGTGTATGGGAAAAAAAAAAATCCAAAAAAAGGCTCCAAGCTGTCCACAAACATTTTTTTTTGTTTTATTACAATTATTTATCATTTTATTTATAATTATTGAATTTTTGTCGATCACGAGCACCGTCGTATTTCAATATCTTCGGACCATCCATTAAAATAAAATAATAATAATATAACGAAGCTTATTAAATATATATTCAATTATTCGCATATAGGATCTCCAAACGAATGAATGTAACTCTAATTATTATTATTATTATTATAACAATATGGCTTTTCTGTCAATTTGGAAGATCATCTACTACCCTTCTTCCACACTCTCTCACACTCCTACACACACACACACACACACACACATATATATATATATATATACTTGACATTTATTTATTTATTATTATTACTATTGTTATAATATCGTATGATTGAACTACGATATATCGAAATCATAAAAAATTTCGATTTAATTTACCTTCGTTTCGTCCACCTTTAATATTTTATTATTATTATATTATTATTATTATTATTATTATTAATTATTATTAATAAGATTTTGTTATTATCGTTATTAAAGAAGAAAAAGAAAAAAAGCAAACAAACATACGAATTAAAAAACTATGTTCCGATGCGTTGGGAACAAAGTTGTTTTTATCCTACAGTGCCTTAAAACAGGAAATTATTAATTGTAAGATAGCTGTTACGATTTTGTTGTTTGTTTCTTGATCGATTCAACAAGAAAATATTGAACTAAAACAGGAGAGAAAGAAATTGGAATAGTTCTGCTGCTGCACCCCCCATTTTGAAAACGAACATTATCTATATATATTCTTTTTTGACACGTTTATACGAAACCCACACACAGCCACACACATACACATTTTTCTAGTCATTGCAAAGCCGAACGATCTTTTGCATTCGTCGATCAAACAAAATCCTCTGACAAAAAAAAAAGAAAGGATGGGAGGGTGGTTTAAGGAATATTGTAAAAAAGAATTTTTGTTTGATTATCTTTCATTGTTTTTCATTTTCTTCTCTCTTTGTAATTTAGTTAGAAAAATTTGTTTTATTTTTTCTTTTTCTTCTTCTTCTTCTTTTTCTCGAACGAATCGAAACGATTCGATGTAGAACATAAAATCGAGAGAGACTTGCACGCAACACACACGTACATCATACACATACACAACAAACATATTATCTTTTCGTTTCTTCTCTTTTTTTTTTGGGTGGAATATTTTGGTTGTTCAAAGCCAAGCCTTTATTCGATTCGGATAATAAGAAGATGAAGAACGTTCGTTCCTTCGGTTCTTCAAATTTGCGCGCAATGAAACGACGACACGCTTTTACCACGGCAATTACGATTCGTGCAAAATGTCGGACATTTATAGAGAAGAGAAAATATATATAAAAAAAAAAAAAATAATAAAAAGAAAAAAAGGGAAAAAAGCGAGAAATTTACTTGTACATATTGTGTATAAAATATCATATATATATATATATATATATATATATGAAAGTGTGCATGCGTGTGCACGCATATATTAATTAAATTGTTGTTGGATTAAATAAAGACGACGATGATTATAATGACAATGGCGATGATGATGATGATGATAGTGATGATAAGGATGATGATGATGATAATAATGGTTAACGAATCATAAGACAAAGAAACACAACAAACGATTATCGAATATATGAGCGATTGTAGAATAAACAAAATAACGATATTATTAGAATACCTCTCCGAAGATATATAAAAAAAGAAAAAGAAAAAAAAAACAAACTCACCATATTATTTTCAATATAACATTATTGTATTCAATTCCAAACCTGACGAGACAGAGAAAGAAAGAAAGAGAGAGAGAGAGAGATAGTAAAAAAACACGAGTGTCCAATTTATGGCGATCGTTGTTGCGTTGTATTGCGAAGATCGAGAAAAAAATCTTTTCTCCCATTTCATTTTTACGAGAAGACAAAAAAAAAAGGAAACACGTAATAATAATAATAATAATAATAAATGAAAATTACAAATTTGTAATTCCTCTTTTTATAGACTCGTTATTGACCACAACCAACCGATCATCAATGTTTAACATAAAAATTAATTAGCAGATTTAGTCGAAAGTGGTTTTTTTTTTCCTTTTTTTTTTCTTTGCGATGAGATTGTCAATTGATTCAATTTTAAACGCTTGAAGTAAATTTTCTTGTTTTATTAACATTTGGCATATGTTCTTATGTCACAGAAATGAGTATTATTTTAATGATCGATTTCATTTTTTTAATATTAAAATTCATTCGTATCGATTTGTTTAACGTTGATCCTTTTCCTTATTACATTATTGTCAAATAAATGGCTATATCAAAGATATAGAGACCTGACTTATCGACGATATTGTACTATAATAATTGGTCTGTTTTTTAACAAGATGGCAGCACTTTGAATTAATGTCGATAAGTTATCGGTAAGAACGGTCGGTAATGTACAGTCGGTAAAGACTTAGTCGATAATGATAGATTTCTACTACAACTGTTTTCCGTCGATACACACAGTGATTTATAACAATAATATTCTTAAGAACAAAAATTTCATTTCCTTTTAAGCGAAAGTTAAATGTTACCGTTCTTATTGCATTATTCATATACTTTCCATACTATGTATTGTATATACAGCCTACTTTCAATAAATAAAATTATTTTAAGGATCTCCCGATCCATAACGATAGCCCTCATAATAAAAATCAATTTTAAACAACTACGAGACTAGCATTGCAGATTACGAGAAATTGACGATTGATAAAAAATATCTATAGAAGAGAGAGAGAAAAAAAAAAAACATATGATTAAGACGAACGTTTTTTTAAATTGTTGTTCACGTTTGTCGAAATGATCCTCAACTATTTTTCAATGGCAGTAATAATCCAAGGAAGCCTCCGACTAGAAAACAAAAAATAAAATAAGACAAATGAAATCTCAGATAAATAAATCACATGAATAAATTCTGAGAAAGCGATACATTATAATTATAATTGCATAATGATAATAAATGATTATAATAATGAAAAAGATAATCATTAACTTACCGATAACAACGCTTCCCACCAAAAATATTGGTACCTCGCAACTGATATCGAGCAGCATACCAAAGGCCAAATTACTCGCGATGGCACCAAGCCTGCCGAAGCATGTCATCATGCAGATAGCTATCGCACCAACATGCGTTGGAAATATATCGACTACTATGCTTCCTATTACAAAATTCGCAGTTGCTATTGCCAGTGAAAATATACAAGTGACGACGAGTATTTGCAAGGACGATTTAACGAAATATGTTGCCAAACCAAATATTCCGGCCACCAACATCGTTGTTACTGAAAATAAAGAAATACAAAAACAAAATAGAATAATCAGAAAAATAACGATGAGATTAAATAAAATAACACAATGTAATATTAATCGTAATTGTAAATAGATTTCTATGATAATTGGTTTATTCACCTGGTATCGTTCTACGACCCACTCGATTTACGAAGTAACCAGATGCTATATTGCCTAGCAAACAAACAGCATTGATCGTTAACGCATTAATAAAGACCTTCTTATCCATAGTGCTAACACATTCTTCAGTCTCATTCATCAATGGAAATAAGATAACCGATTCGTTCAACGTTGTTGGTTTCATAGTCGTTTGATTTAATATTTCCATATTTCTTATTAAATCGCAAACGGGTATGCTTGCGTTTGGATGAAGGTTTTGGTGAATTTCAAATCGATTGAAAAGCTCAGGAAGCCATAGACCTAATCCGTAATACCTATAACAAATAGTATTAATATAGTCTGTAATTACATTTGTTCGTATTTTTTCAATTAAGGGTTTTTCAATGGGTTATAATTGAATATTATTCAGAGAAATTTTGCGTAAACCAACCCAAACATATTGGTGAAAAATATAGTCCAAATAAGTATGGCGTATTTTAATAATGGCATAGATGTGATAAATTTCATTTGAAACCATACATTTTTCAATAATACCATAAACGTGTTTATGGCCGATAAGGATGATCCCTCTTTTCTTGCATTAACTATATTATCGGACAAAAGAACTTTCACCTGTTTTAAAATAAATTAAATATACTTTATCATTCAATTAATTCAATATTAATTAAATAATTCAATATAAAATGTATCATTTTTCTTTCTTTCTCTCTTACCGGATAATCATCTTCTTTTCTACCGGTATTAATGACATAAATTTTTCGTAAAATTCTCAATGCTTCGTCCGTTTGTCCTCGGGATGTTAAAAATTTCGGACTTTCTGGATAAGTCAAGGTAACCATAGCTACCAAAAATGTTGGCAGACTAATCGTTGCTAATAAAAGTCTCCATGAATTATAAGAAATACCATTGAACTCGATGGAAATTGATAAAGGTATGATTACCCAAGCTAAACCTGTAAATATACATTATTGATAAAAAAAAGAAAATTCCTTGAACCGATTGGAATGAGAAGAAAAAAATAAATAAATAAATAAATAAATTACCAGGTAATATCAGCCAAGAAAGTGTCCAGAAAAAGCTAACGTAACAAATACTTTTAGCTCGATATTTTTCCGGATGAAATTCACCTAAATAAGTGTAGATCAATGATCCCGGTGCACCAATTCTGTTTAGAAAAATAAAAAAAAATATACAGTTCAACCAATCGTCAAATTCTGATTTTAATTTAGACAATTGTGTTTTTCTTTTCTTTTTAATGATTTAAATATACTAACGTGAATCCGTTCATAATACGAAATATCAGTAAAGTGCTGAAACTTTGTGAGAAACTCGAAATAATTGATATAATACTGTCACTGATAAGTGTCAATAATAAAACGTTCCTTCTACCATAAGCGTCCGCGAAAATACCCCATACGAGTGAACTGATGACTCCACCTATAAAAAGAAAATAATAAAAAAAATAAAAAAAAGTAAATCGTTCAAACGCGATTATTTTAATTGTGTGATAACACTTATGTAAAATATATAATCAAATGATATAATAATTGGTTAATACCTATGAGAAAAGCAACGTTTAAGAGACCTTTATCTTCGGAAGACAATTTCAAATCGCATTGTGCCGATGGTAGGATATAAGCACTTATTCCATTTTGAAAACCTACGGAAAGGAACATCATACCGCAGAGGAACATCAAACCGTAATGAAACCTTCCGTATCCTAAAATTTCAATTGAAAAATAACGAATAATTACAATTATAGTTAACGAGGGGAATGTTCAAATATAAATTTATGGTATTAGAAAATATTTATCAAAAGAAAAACAAAAAATGTATAATATATAATATAGTACATTGTAGAAATATTTAAAATAAAAAGTCTGATGCCTTAACGAGTGAACAATAAAAAAAAAAAAAAAAAAAAA